CGTGCTGACTAAGCAGGCACTAAGCCTATCTAGGTTAAACTACTACCTCTTGCCTTTAAAATGAGCTAGCCTAATTGGAAATAGATTTAATATTCAGCTAGTTATACTAGTTTAAAAACTAGAACTTTTAGGAACACTCTTTTTTCATGTCACCCCTCTGTACTATATATATAAAATATAGCTAGATTTAACTATATTTAGAGGCTTGTTCCGTGCACGATCCTAGTTACTAGAATAAGTATCGGTAAATTCAGTAACCCTAACGGAATAAGGGTCGATTTTAACCCTTATTCCGTCAGGGAACATAGATAGAGTAGTAGTAATTTCTAGATATAGAGTAGAGATAGTTAATATAGCTAAGACGTTTATACGAGAAAAGTTAGAAGTAGAGACCTCTTTAGAAAAAAAGATGGTGTTACGCCTATAGAAGAGATACTAATATAGGTTTAGAGCCTAATAATATAGAGGCTCGAGAGCTAGAAATTACTATAATCTCTATTACCCTAGAGGATAGACTTAACATAGTAAGATATTACTACTATAACGTTTACCTTTAGGAGTAAAGACTAGAAAGCGAGATATCACTACTACGACGTTTGCCCCCAGGGGCAAAGATAGACAGCGAGATATCACCACTACGACGTTTGCCCCCAGGGGCAAAGATGCACAGCGAGATGTTTTAGCCTTTCCGTTTCCTTCCTACTTTCTACGCCTCTTCTATCCCTCACAACCTTCTCTATCCTACCTTCTGGTTAGGCCTAACCCTATGCCATCAGTACTGTTTTCCCTCTACTATAGAGGCTAAACGAGATAACGAGGGCCGTCTCCTAGAGAGAGTTTAGAGAGATAATATAGTATTAGCCTAAGGAGAGGGGTATTATAATAGGTTAAACGCCTCTCAGATAGCTTCTTAATAGAATCTTAGTTAAAGCTATACGCGCGCTATCTAAACTACGTTTAGACGACGAGCGAAGAATCTAGGTATTACCCTAAGTACCTAGATTCTACTTACCGCCCGAGCAGCGCTTAGATAACGCGCTTAGACACTTTAGTATAACCTTTCTCTAATAAGTAAATAAATATTACGTAAGGAGAAGTAGATAGCTCTTTATTGAATACAACCTCTTGTATACCTCGCGATTGCTCCCCAGAGCGCAGCCCCTTACAAGTGCTAAGACAAACCTATTAGCAGGGCTGAGAGGAGAACGGGAGAGATAAGAGAGGGTAATAGTTGCCCTTCTTTAAGACTCCCTCTATGGCTACCTTTACTGAGACAGTAGTATGTTAACCTAAGAAATAGGTTGACATAAGAGAGGTAGTTATAATAAGGGTGTATAGAAAACTTTACTAAGTACCCCTAACTAGCGCCCCTAGATTATCATCTAGTGCTTATCTACTATAGTAGTATTCTTTCACGTTAGTTATGGCAATTTATTTAGAACTACTCGCGCCTGGCGCAACCCTAACTTAGGGTAAAGCCCTAAGCGTAACTGGCAGCGCAACCCTAAGTTAGCACGGGCCATACCCACGAACATCAACTCTCTCCCCTATTCTATCTAATAACTCACGCTATATAAGTCGCATAATAAAAAAATTCAGTGTAGTAAACGCGTACGAGATTTCTACTTATAACGTAAAAGTTGCATCTATTTTAAATATTATTATAACAGTATTTGCTACGGCGAAGTGGTGGGTGGATGGGCAGGGGTAAAACGCGCTATCCGACCATTGTTCACAAGGGACCATAGTTCGGTTTGGCATAACGAGTAGGATATTAAAAGTCTATAGAGCTAGCTATAGAGAGTGTCTTAATATATACTTATCTTAGTCGGGTCCGAATCAGATCCGACTAAGAAACGAATAGCTAATAAAGGGGCGGCCGATACTTCCTCCGATCCGGCTCTGGGATTGGCTTAATACTTGGCGAAGTTGTAACATCGTTACAGTCTTAGCAGTTAGTCTAGTCTAGTCTAGTGACTTCATAACGTTAGTTCAGTCAGTCCGGAGCTTTTTGGACTGTCTGAACTAACTGTAAGCAGTTGAGGTTGTAGGAAGTATTGTGTATTGTTGTGTGTATCCTGATAGGAGCAAGTTTAAATACAGTGTTATTAGTCAGTGAGTAACCACGTGACCATACATGGTACTTCTGGGCTTACACTAACTCATAGCAACTCTAGGCTAAAGTAAAGTTTAAAGATCGCAATTATAGCAACAACACTAACATCCTAGATTAAATCACTCATGAGGGCCGCTGAAAGAAGGTGCAAGCAATTAGGAAAAGTACTTATGATGATACAAATGTGCGTAGAAACAGTGTTGAATTGGATATCTTTCTAGATTTTTATGACGTTCACTGAAGTATATTTGTTTTGATATCGTCGAAAAGGGAATATATGGTGTGCCTAAGATAAAGATGTATCGCCTAACTGATAAATTATACGTCTATTAGAGACAAACTATCAAACACCCCTCCAAGATTATAGTTTTCGTGGCAGCTTATCCAAAAAACTCCTCACCAATCGTGATGTCCGTCTCGGCAGCGAACACCTTCGATATCTTCACTCCTAGCAAGAACTTTCCAGGTACGCCAGAATCAGAAACTGTCTCCGACGCCACAAACACCGAGTCTTCCAAAATTTTGTACTCCGACTCACCCCCTTCAAATTCCGGGATAAGAACTGGAAATGACTGTTAGTACAAGCTTTGCTGGGGGTTTGGCGTCATCGTCAATTTTTACCTCTATATACAGCTCCGTATGGGACTTCGAGTCCCGTTGGTGCGTTTCCGGAGATGACTGGCAACACGGCCTCATTGCCCAGTTGTACTCCACCCATTCTCATCTGAAAGGGTGCAGAGCCATCGCTTGGTGTAACTGTTCCGCGGAAATCTGGACGGCTGGTCCCGGCAGCCTCATTCGTGGTCGCGTAGTTGACCGCGGGCGTCACCGAAGCGGTGAATTGGAAGTCAAACTTTGAATGCAGAGTTAAGCCACGTTATGCTACATGTTTGATGCCTGAAGATGCATCAGCCTCTTACCTCTGGCTCCGTGTACAGTGTTCCGCTTTCGAATTCGAACAAATTTAGTGCGGCGCCGAAGGAATTGTGGCCTAGAGGTTTCTGTGCAATGGCAGGTCAGACTTTGATTCTTTCAATTAGTTGGATTTGCTTACGACTGTATTGACAGTAGCCTTTTTCACAGAAATTGTCAGTTGGAAATTCTTAAGGGATGATTTGTAGCCATCTTACATTGAAGTAGAGCGCGGGTACTAGGTAAGTGAAGGGATGCATGGTTGATTGTAGAGCAGGCTGTACTGAGATAGCGGTGATTGTTGCGCAAGTTATAGCAGACGGTGCTCGTACTTATATACATCATGGTTACTATACCGTCGGAGCTTCTCGATCTCCAAGCTAGTACTGCTCCAGATTGCAATGCTGCTAAGATCGGCCACCCTGACAAGATGGTGACTTCATCATCTTAAACTTGCTT